TAGCTGCTCAAAATATGTTAGTAATTACTTCTCTCTATTCCTTTTCTTATTCTTATGTCATTTCATCACCTAATTTGTCACCTTTCTCCATAGAACTTTTGAAACGTTAATTATATAGATTCATTTTTATAAGTTTAGGTGCACTACTGTCATTATTCTCAGATATTAGTCTGATGTTGATTACAACAGAAGGACTCAAGAGTGTCTCATAAAATGGCAATTCAGTGAAGGGACAAATTTACATGTTAAATGTTAAATAGGCCTACACAATTTTATCTCTATTATCTGTTCCTTCATAATATGATCACAATGCAAAGTTATCTATTTATCTTTGTGTGTGTTTACTTAAATTTGTTTTTCCACGAGCATAAAAGCTTGATGCATACAGGAACAATTTCTGACATGTTCACTAACAAAGATTCATGCCTGGAACAGAGTTGGGGCTCAGTAAAAGATTTTAGTGAATGAGTAAATGAATAATAAGGAGAACTAATAGAAAACTCATCACAGAAGACAGGTGATAAAAGATGCTAGGTTTTACTGAAGTAACACATTAAAGTGAAAACCCAATGGTTTAACACAACAAATATTTTGTATTAGTTCCCTTTGGTTGTGACAAATTACCACATGCTTAGGGAAGTAAAACAACATGTTTTTTTCCTTACAGTTCTGGAGGTCAGAGGTCCAAAATCAGCTTCACTAGGATGAAATCAAGGTATCAGTCTGCAGAGTCTCTAGGAAATAAACAGTTTCATGCATATTTCATCTTCAGGTGACTGCTGGCATTCCTTGACTTTTGTCTCCTTCAGTCTGATTTCTCCCTTCAGTCACATTCTTTTCTCCATTTTATGCCTGTGCAATTTTTCCCTGACTCCACCTTTTTAATTTATATGAAATGTCCATGATATAAAATTTATTATTTAAAAGTATATAATTCATTGGTATTTAGTACCTTCATAAAGTTGTGAAACCATCACATATATATAATTTCAAAAGATTTTATTTACTCACAAGGAAGATTCCATATCCATTAAGCAGTGTCCCTCATTCCCACAGCCCCCTGGTCCTGGGGACCAATAATCTGATTTCAATCTCTATGGATTTACCAATTCTGTATAGATCACATAAATGTAATCTCATAATATGTGACCTTTTATGTATGACTTATTTTACTTTGCAGAATGTTTTCAAGGCTCATTTATATTGTAACAAGGATTCATATTTTATGGCTGAGTAATATTTCATTGTATAGATGTATTACATTTTGTTCTTCCGTTCTCAACTGATGAACATTGGGGTGTTTTCATCTTTGAGCAATTGTTAATATTTTAATAACAATGCTATGAACATTTACGTGAAAATATTATTTGAAGACCTGTTTTTATTCTTTAAGTAGATAACAAGAAGTAGGATGGCTTATGCATATGGTAATCTGAGTTTAACTTTTGAAGACTAACAAATTGTTTTTCATATCAGCTCTACAATTTTACATTTCCACCAGCAATTTAAAAGGGCTTCAATTTCTCTACATCCATGCCAATATTTGTTAATTTTCATTTCTTTTACAATAGCCATCCTAGTGGATTATAAAATAGTGTCTCTCTGTTGTTTTTATTCACATTCTCCTGATAAATAATGATATTGAGGAATTTTTTTTTATTACACTTTAAGTTCTAGGGTACATGTGCACAACATGCAAGCTTGTTACATATGTATACATGTGCCATGTTGGTGTGCTGCACCCATTAACTCATCATTTACATTAGGTGTATCTCCTAATTCTATCCCTCCCCCCTACCCTCTTCCCCACAATAGGACCTGGTGTGTGATGTTCCCCTTCCTGTGTCCAAGTGATCTCATTGTTCAATTCCCACCTATGAGTGAGAACATGCGGTGTTTGGTTTTCTGTTCTTGCGATAGTTTGCTGAGAATGATGGTTTCCAGCTGCATCCATGTCCCTACAAAGGACATGAACTCATCCTTTTTTATGGCTGCATGGTGTATATGTGCCACATTTTCTTAATCCAGTCTGTCAATGATGGATATTTGTGTTGGTTCGAAGTCTTTGCTATGGTTAATAGTGCCACAATAAACACATGTGTGCATGTGTCTTTATAGCAGCATGATTTATAATCCTTTGGGTATATACCCAGTAATGGGATGGCTGGGTCATATGGTATTTCTAGTTCTAGATCCTTGAGGAATTGCCACACTGTCTTCCACAATGGTTGAACTAGTTTACACTCCCACCAACAGTGTAAAAGCAATCCTATTTCTCTACATCTTCTCCAGCACCTGTTGTTTCCTGACTTTTTAATGATCGCCATTCTGACTGGTGTGAGACGGTATCTCATTGTGGTTTTGATTTGCATTTCTCTGATGGCTAGTGATGATGAGCATTTTTTCATGTGTCTGTTGGCTGCATAAATGTCTTCTTTTGAGAAGTGTCTGTTCATATCCTTTGCCCACTTTTTGATGGGGTTGTTTTTTTCTTGTAAATTTGTTTGAGTTCTTTGTAGGTTCTGGATATTAACCCTTTGTCAGATGAGTAAATTGCAAAAATTTTCTCCCATTCTGTAGGTTGCCTGTTCACTCTGATGGTAGTTTCTTTTGCTCTGCAGAAACTCTTTAGTTTAATAAGATCCCATTTGTCAATTTTGGCTTTTGTTGCCATTGCTTTTGGTGTTTTAGACATGAAGTCCTTGCCCATGCCTATGTCCTGAATGGTATTGCCTAGGTTTTCTTCTAGAGTTTTTATGGTTTTGGGTCTAACATTTAAGTCTCTAATCCATTTTGAATTAATTTTTGCATAAGGTGTAAGGAAGGGATCAGTTTCAGCTTTCTACTTATGGCTAGCCAGTTTTACCAAATAAATAATGGTAATTTATTATTAAATAAATAACCATTTATTAAATAGGGAATCCTTTCCCCATTTCTTGTTTTTGTCAGGTTTGTCAAAGATCAGATGGTTGTAGATGTGTGGTATTATTTCTGAGGGCTCTGTTCTGTTCCATTGGTCTGTATCTCTGTTTTGGTACCAGTACCATGCTGTTTTGATTACTGTAGCCTTGTAGTATAGTTTGAAGTCAGGTAGCATGATGCCTCCAGCTTTATTCTTTTGGCTTAGGATGGTCTTGGCAATGCGAGTTCTTTTTTTTTGGTTCTATATGAACTTTAAAGTAGTTTTTTCCAATTCTGTGAAGAAAGTCCTTGGTAGCTTAATGGGGATGGCATAAATCTTGAATGGTAAATCTTCCTCATACTAGCTGTAGAATTGAACACATCACATAACTTCACGAATTACCAATTGCCTTGGTGATAACTAAGAACAGGCATGCAAACACAAACACAATCACACACATGGCTATGTATAAAGTTCTTATCCTATATTTTGGAACATAGTATATGCTAGAAGTGGGATGTGTGTTAAGATGGACAAACATAAAACTCTCCTAGGCTAGGGTTGTACATTGAAGTTGTAAAGGAATGGGAGGACAATAACAGGGAATAGAATTTAGCAAAGGATGGAAATACTTCCAAAAGCTTTGAATTAAAATAAAAAAGACTTAAAATACTCTTCATACACTAGAACAGCTTCAAATAAAAACACTGTAAACAGAAACTTTCCACTAAAACACAACTGCAGGCTAAACGTAATCCACAAACTGTGAACTTTCAGCCATCGATATATATGATTCAACTATAAGGATGACAGTAATGAGAAAAAGAGAAATTTTCAACTAAAGAAAATTGTGGATTTCAAGAAAAAATATTAAACAAAAGAATGGCTCACATGGAATGAACAGAGCAGCCAATCACATGGGCAGAGCATGAACTAAGTTTAAATCACTGAGGGTGGGGAGCACATAAAATCTCATGAACCTGATGTGTGGGGAAAAAAAAGCAAAATAAAGTGGAATACTTAAGACTTCAAGCATTATCCATACTTGAAGCTCTACATGTTGCCACCTACCTTCTCAAACCACATAAAGGCCATCATTTCATTCCAATAATAGAGGCACAACTGGCACTCATCAGGCTGTGCTAAACAATCAGCATTTTACTCATCGACTTTTTTTAATGCACTCTCTCATTTAATTCTCCAAATAATACCTTGGGGTAGGTCTCATTACCACCTTCTTTATGTAGATGAAGAAATTCCTGTTCAGGTAGTTAGGTTAGGATCAGTGATTCCTAGGTTGTACATGTAAAAATGGCATGTACCTCTTCCCAGAGCCCAACCTCCATACATAGTGCTATTCCTTCCAGTCCCTCAGCAACACCTCTGCAGTTTACACATTCGTCTACTGCCCCAGTTATCTCACCACATCTACTATGCACGTATCTTTCAGTTAATTCACTGTGAAACCACAAACACTGAGTTTGAAATAATAGCGAAAATGAATAATTCTAAATTGAGTTAAATTCAGTTTTATTTAAATTAACTTAGTCAATCAAATTTGGTAGCAATTCTGTCTGGAGTCAAAGCTTTGCCTGCCAATGAATAATTCTGTAAACATGAATAAAATACTTAACCTCTGGTGCCTCACAATCTAAATGAAAGTAACAACTACTCAATTTTGTAAATGTATTAGGAGGAATCAAGGAATATAGAAGTAAAAGTATCTAGCTGTGGACACATTAGCAACATAGAAGTCTATGAACTTATTAGACTAGGAAAAGTTGAACTGACAGATTCATTAATTTCAGAATTATCAGGTTGGATAATTCACAAATTTTTCCAAATCTCAGTTTGCATATATATATAAAAATTAAAAACTGGAGAGATGACCTGTGTGGATCCTTCAGTCAACAGTCTAGGGCTGCATTGATAATTAATCCACTAAATCTTGTTGTTAACTTCATGCTTTCATTATGGAAAATCATGAAACACATATTATTGCTATAATGTAATAGTACATAATGTATATAAACATTTTAATTTTTCTGCAACCTCTACTGCCTTTAATGCTCTGTTCCTTTATTTCTCATTCATATAGGGCGTCTCCTGCTTCCAAATAACACTGGTGTAGAACAGTACAGAAGTGTCACAGTTCATCTTCTTAGGACTAAGCAATGTCCCAGAACTGTAAGTCCCCTTCTTTATCACGTTTGTTCTCATCTATCTCGTCAATGTGCTTGGAAACTTGGGGATGATCATTTCAATTCTCTGGTACTCTTGACTCCACAATCAAACATACTTCTTCCTCAGTAATCTGTCTCTGGTAGACTTTTTTTACTCTTCAGTTGTCACTCCAAAGGTCATATCTGGGCTCCTTAGAGAAGACAAAATCATTTCCTATACTGTGTGGGCTGCTCAGACATTCTTTTCTGATTCCTTTGCCAGTGTGGTAAATTTACTATTGGCCTTAATGACCTCTGACCACTATGCAGCAGTGTGCAAACACCTGCATTATACCACCACCATGATGACAAGTGTGTGTACATGCCTGGCCATAGGTTGATACATCGGTGGTTTCCTGAATGCCTCCATTCACACTGGGGAAACATTCAGTCTCTTTCTGTATGTCCAATGAAGCCCATCACTTTTTCTGTGAGGTTCCAGCAGCCATGGCTCTGTCTTGCTCTGATAGACATGTGAATGAAGTGGTTCTTGTTTATGTAACCAGCTTCAATATCCTCTTTGCCCTTCTAGTTATCTTTATATCCTACTTATTTATATTTATCACCATCCTAAAGATGCACTCAACTGCAGGATACCAGAAGGCTTTGGCCACTTGTGCCTCCTACCTCACTGCAGTTGCCATCTTCTATGATACTATTATCTTCATGTATATACAGCCCAGCTCCAGTCATTCCATTGACACAGACAAAATTGCAGTGTGTTTTATGCTATGGTCTTCCCCATGCTGAACCCTGTGGTCTAAAGCCTGAAGAACAAGGAGGTGAAGAGTACATTCAAGAAAATTGTTGAGAAGGCAAAATTGTCTTTAGGATTGTGAGTTTAACATTTCAGGATAATGATATCCTGATATCCTGTATAATACCTAGTTTCATTCCTTTCTGAAATTCTCCAGGCACCTCATGACATTTTAAGGCCCATATTTCAGTTAATTTCTGGAAATTATATCCTTACCTCTTCAAAAGTCTGTTGTCTAGAAAAGGGAAATATAACGATTAGAAATGTAATACCTGAATAAAAATGGCATAAGGAAAGCATAAAGTAATGTAGTTCAAACAAAAATGCATTAGGAAGATGTAATTTATTCACTCTTCATATGCATTTTCTCTATCATATGACACAAGTAACACACATGTAAAAACTGGTGAAAAACAAACCCGTGAACAGAAATGCATACATGTGACTCCTATGGGCACATATACATGGGAGTGAAAAATTAGCCAGAGGTAAAGGGAATGTGGCTAGGGTTTTAATAAAAATAATTTAGTTAATTCAGGTATTCAAATATAAATTTTTGACTACTGTTACTTTTTTCTTAAGTTGAATATTCTAAGCATTATTGTTTGAGATAAAAGTGCTATGGCTTTCAATGAAAGTATTGGCTTATATTGTTAGCATATTTTATTGGGAGATACATAGCTAAAGTACTTTAAATGATTAATATTTCTGTCTTTAAATCATTTCATATAACATACATTTTTATATTACATTTTCTTTACATAAAAGACAAAGTTTTATTTTTTTTCAACTTTTATTTAAGATTCAGGGAGTACATGTACAAGCTTGTTAAATGAGTATATTTTGTGATGTTGAGGTTTGGAGTACAGAGGATCCTGCCACTCAGGTACTGAGCATAGTACCCAATAGTTAGTTTGTCAGTCCTTGTGTCCCTTCCTCTAGTAGTCTTCGGTGTCTATTGTTGCCATCTTTATATCCATGAGTACCCGTCATTCAGTTCGCACTTATAAGTGAGAATATGTGGTATTTGGTTTTATAATCCTGCATTAATGTGCTTAAGATAATGGCCTCCAGCCACATCTATGTTGCTGCAAAGTATATGATTTTCACTATTTGTTATTGCTGTGTAGTATTCCGTGGTGTTTATGTACCACATTTTCTTTGTTCAGTCCACCATTGATGGACACCTTGGTTGATTCCGTCTCTTTATTATTGTGAATAGTGCCGCAATGAACATATGAGTGTATATATGTCTTTTTGGTAGAACAATTTGCTTTCTTTTGGTTATGTACCTGGTAATGGGACTGCTGGGTTGAATGACAGCTCTGTTTTAAGTTGTTTGAAAAATTTCCAAACTGCTTTTCATGGTGGCTGCACTAATTTACATTCTCACCAACAATGTATAATTGTCCCCTTTGCTCCACAACCTCACCAACATCTGTTCTTTTTTGATTTCTTAGTAATAGCCATTCTACCTGATGTGAGAAAATATCTCACTGTGGTTTTGATTTGCATTTCTCTGATGATTAGTGATGTTAAGTATTTTTTCATGTTTGTTGGTAGCTTGTATATCTTCTTTTGAAAAGTGTCTTTTTCTCATTTTTAAATTGGATTATTTATTTTTTACTTGTTTAATTGTTTAAGTTTCTTATACATTCTGGATATTCAACCTTTGTCAGATGCATAATTAGCAAATATTTCCCTCCATTCTGTAGACTGTCTATTTACTCAGTTGATAGTTTCTTTTGCTCTGTAAAAGCTCTTTAGTTTGATAGTCTCTTTTGCTGTACAAAGGTTCTTTGATTTTATTAGGTCCCACTTGCCAAATTTTGGGTTTGTTGTAATTGTTTTTGAAGTTTTAGTCATAAATTCTTTTCCAAGGCCAATGCACAGAATGATGTTTTCTTCCAGGACTCTTATAGTTTGAGGTCTTATATTTAAGTCTTTAATCCATTTTTAGTTAAATTTTGCACATAGTAAAATTAGGGGTACAATTTCATTCTTCCAGTTTCATTATGGTTAGCCAGGTATTCCAGCACCATTTATTGAATATGGAGTCCTTTCTTCATAGTTTATTTTTGTTGATTTTGTTGAAGATAAGATGGCTGTAGGTGAGTAGCTTTCTTTCTGGGTTTCCTATTGTGTTCCATTGTTCTGTGTGTCTGTTTCTGTACCATGCTGTTTTGGTTATTGTAGCCTTATAGTATACTTTAAAGTTGGGAAATATGATGCCTCTGGCTTTGTTGTTTTTGTTTTGGATTGCTTTGGCTACTCAAGCTCTTTTTTGATTCCAGTGAATTTAAGAATAGTTTTTTCTAGTTCTGTGAAAAATGATGTTGGCCGTTTGGTAGGAATAGCATTGAATCTGCAGATTGCTTTGGGCAATATGGCCATTTTGACAATATTGATTCTTCTAATCCATGAGCATGGATTTTTTTCCACTTGTTTCCCTGATGAACATGAACACAAAAATCCTTAACAAAATACTATCAAACTGAATCCAACAGTTCATCAAAAAATCAATTCACCATAATAAAGTAGGCTTTACTCCTGGAATGCAAGATTGTTTCAATATATGCAAGTCAATAAGTGTGATTCACTGTAAAAGCTGAATTAAAAGCAAAAACCATACGATTAATTTAATAGATAGCAAAAAAAAGATTTTTATAAAATCCAACATCCCTTCGTGATAAAAATCCTCAACAAACTAGGCATTGAATGAATGTACCTGAAAATAATAAAAGACATCTATGACATACCCAGAGTCAACATTATACTGAACAAGCAAAAACATGAAGCATTCCCCTTGATAACTAGAACAAGAAAAGGATGCCCACTGCCAGTACTCTTATTCAATATAGTATTGGAAGTTTTAGCCAGAGCAATCAGGCAAGAGAAAGAAATAAAAGACATCAAAATAGAACGATAAGTCAGTAAACTATCTTTTTTCCAAGTTGGTATGATTCTATAGCTATAAAACCCTGAAGATTCCACCAAAGGGTCCTGCAACTGATTAATGACTTCAGTAAAGTTTCTGGATACAAAAATCAATCTAGAAAAATCAGTAGTATTTCTATACACTAATAATATTCAAGCTGAGAGCCAAATCAAGAATACATCCCATTTACAATAACAACAACAAAAGATACCTAGTAATATATCTAACCAAGGAAGTGAAAGGTCTCTACAAGGAGAACTACAAAGCACTGCTCAAAGAAATCATAAATGATACATTACACTTTTCAAAAGGATAAAATAGCCAGAGGATAATAAAAATTAAGAGAAAATAAAGGCATTTTCAATTTATCCATACATGACCACCAACATTCACTCTATTTACGGCCTGAGATAATAATTTTCTACATATTTTCTCTCTGTAAGGGCTTTGAAATAGTTAATGTTGCTCATTAATTTTTAATTTAGTTGAGCTACATCATCTCTTGTCACTTCTCCAGCGTTTTGTCTCTATCCATTCACATCACTCTCCTTGATATTTCTTCACATCTCCAAATGTGCTCCTGCCTCAGGACATGTGCACTAGCTGTTCCCTCTGTGTGGAAATTTTTCTTCCTCCACTCAGGCCTTTACTCAAATAAATGTTAACAAATCACGAAAGTCTTCTCTGACCACCTTTATATAAGTCCCTCTCCCCTCGCCATGTGTACTGTCCTGTCGCCCTGCATTATTCTTCACAGTCCTTATCAACACTCCCTATTGTGTGTTTATTTGATCACTTTTCATTTATCATTCCCAATTAGAACTTAAACTTCTTAAGAGCAGTGACTTTTGTTTTGTTTGCATGATCCTGCTCAGTACCTAAATAGATATCTGTTTCATTGTAGATTCTCACTAATTATATGTTAAGTGAATGATTAAAATAATTAAGCTGAGCCCAATTGTATCAATATATTGAATATTTGAGCCATAATATAAACCTTCTTCAAGGCATGTAGCATATTTCAACAACTGCAGCTTATTTTCTGCTTTGCTGAAATTTTTACATCTACATTCTCAGTGCTTGCATGCCCCACTTTTGGACCCAGTGATTTCCTGGGAATCTCATCACTAAAAGAATCATCTCATAATTTTTAGTTGGAAATAATATGTCATTAAGTGACAAGCCACACATCAAATAAATGCTATTTAGTAAATCCCAAAAAGAAATTAAATCTGATTATATAAACATGTAATGTATGATTATATTTGTA